TACGGGGAGCCACAAAGAATCTTTTTTTCCCTTGAAGTCCAAGTCAAAATTGAAAAAAAAATTCTTTATGATAAATTTCTTAATTCTAATTTTTTAAACAGAGCTTTATCTACCTGTTTAAAATGGTTCATTTTTAAAATTGTTAACAGCTAAGCATTAGAATAATTCCCTAATGATGATGCCTTCACAAAAAGTAATTTTCACAACATGGAAGGTGAGTGCACAGTAAAAACTCAACAAACAGCCTTCAAAGGCTGCAGCCTTCATAGTGAGATCATAACTGATGCCCAAGCTAAAGAAAATTATTTTTTTAGAAACATCTATCATAAACTTTCTAGGTTGAATCTAAACACTACTGAAAATAAGAGTAAAAAAATTTAAAGGAGATCACTACACACATAATAAGTGGCTAAAGTTTTAATAACTGACAATACCAAGTGCTGACAAAGATGCAAAGCAACTGAAACTCTCAGATATTGCTGTAGGAATGTAAGATGATATCACCATTTAGGAAAACAATTCAGTAGTTCAATAAAAAGGTCACTGATGTTAATAAATAAACACTTATCCTAGGACCCAAAAATCCCACTCCTAGGTATTAACTCAAGAAAACTGAACATTTTTGTCCCTCACATAGACCTGTATGCAAATGTTTATAGCAGCTTTATTCATATTTGACCAACACTAGAAACAACTCAAATATCCATCAGTTTAGGAATGGATGAACAAATTGTGTTACCCTGCTGTAAAACCATGTTACTCAACAAAAACAGGAACTGTGCTGGAGCTGGCTGGTACCAGCTCATGGGAGCCCATTGTTAAATTTTCAGGAATTCTGTGAGCTGATAGCTTAATTTAGGCCATAGTGAGAGTGTTTACACTACAATGATTAGCAAATGCCACAAATCAGGGATTCTTTTTTTTTTTTTCTGAAGAGCATGTTGTTAAAACATTTCCCAGCACATCACTGAACAAACTACTGATACATGTAACAACTTAATAAATATCAAGCATTATGCTAAGTGCAAGAGAATACGAAAGGCTATGTAATGTATAATTCCATTTATATATGCTAGACCAGATAAAACTTTAAGAGCATCAATTAAATTAATGGTTTTCAGGGGCTGGGGATGTAGAGGGAGAGCACTGACTCATGACAGGCCATGAGTGAACTTTTTAGAGTAATGGAAACATCCTTTATGTCTTGACTGTGGTGGAGACTATCCAATTATAGACATTTGTTAAACTTTTACTACATGTAAATTATGCTTCAATAAACATTAAAACATTAAAGTAGAAGTCATTTCTTTTTTTTTTTTTTTTTTTTTTTTTTTCTTTTTTGAGATGGAGTCTCGCTCTGTCACCCAGGTTGGAGTGCGGTGGTGCGATCTCGGCTCACTGCAACCTTTACCTCCCCGGTTCAAGCTATTCTCCTGCCTCAGCCTCCTGAGCAGCTGGAACTACAGGTGCACACCACCATGCCAAGCTAATTTTTGTATTTTTAGTAGAGATGGGGTTTCACCATATTGGCCAGGCTGGTCTCGAACTCCTGACCTCAGGTGATCCACCAGCCTCGGCCTCTCCAAGTGCTGGGATTACAGGTGTGAGCCACCATGCCCGGTCATCATTTATTTCTTAATCATTTCATGGATGATAAATACACCACACACACCAAGGGAGAACTGGATTTATCAGTGTAAATATCAGGAAGGCCGATTTTGACTTGATATACACAGAAATATAGATTTAAAATGTTTAAAAAAAAAAAAAAGAAAAAAGAAAGGCCTGGCACAGTGGCTCAAGCCTGTAATTCCAGCATTTTGGGAGGCAGAGGCAGGCAGATCACTTGAGCTCAGGAGTTCGAGACTAGCTTCGCCAACAGGGTAAAACCCTGTCTCCACTAAAAATACAAAAATTAGCCAGGCATGGTGGTCAGGGTCTATAGTCCCAGCCACTTGGGTGGCTGAGGCACAACAATCTCTTGAACCTGGGAGGCAGAGGTTGCAGTGAGCCCAGATCATGCCACTGCACTCCAGCCTGGGCGACACAACAAGACTCCATCTCAAAAGAGAGAGAGAAAAAAAAAAAAAAAAGGTCAAGAAAAAAAAAGAAGAGGGGAAATCTGTAATCATAGGAAAGACTAAAATCAGAGGTGGATGATCCTTCCAAGGATGCTGTAGAAATGACCCTACTTCAGGTGTGATTTCAGACTAGCGTCATTAACATGAGGGTAGTATCATTAAGATCTCTTCATACTGGGAGTCCAGGGCTCCAAAATCTCATGATATTGTATGCTATGATAATCTCACATATACTTTGCAATTCTAACTAAAACATCAATTACTTATTTTTACATCAATCAAATGGTATTACCGATCAAAGTCTAGTATACCCTGGTTATGAATGCTGGCTCTGACTTCAGACAATCTGGGTTCACATGTTGGCCCACCAGTGTTTGCATGACCTTAAAACAACTTGTTCTATTTCCCCAACTGTAAAATGGGATTAATATTTTCCTTCAATTTAAATGAGAATGTGTTAGAAACAACGTCTATGTGCTGAACTCTTAATCACAAACATTTCTTGGGCATAATCAGAAATGAAGGACATAAATCATCAAATGTAATTTAAAAATTTTAGCTTTCCAAATATGGAATATTTATCCTTTAATTTTCTATCTAGAAGTTCATAATCTTTTACAGAGCCATATCATTTTGAGAATGCGATCACCATACAGACTCTTCATCTAGGAAAAATTCAAATATATGCTATATTCTGCATATGATTTCTGGGGAGCCAAGGACCCTCAGAAGCATATGCATGAAATTAACAAAGAAGCAGGGCATGGTGGCTCACGCCTGTAATCCCAGCATTTAGGGAGGCTAAGGCAGGAGGATCACTTGAGGCCAGGAGTTCAAGATCAGCCTGGGCAACACAGGGAGACCCTCGTCTCTACAAAAACTACAAAAAAATCAGACAGGCATGGTGGCATGCACATGTAGTCCTAACTTCTTGGGAGGCTGTGGTGGAAGGATCACTTGGGCCCAGAAGTTCAAGGCTGCAGTGAACCATGATCATGCCACTATACCCCAGCCTGGGTGACAGGGCAAGACCCTATCTCTAAAAAAAGAAAGAAAGAAATTAAGAACAACTGATATAAACTTTTAAAATTGCAAAGTTGAGCAGTGTAATTTAAGAATCTCTTCAAAGTAGAGAACCCAACTTAATAATGAAATATTATACTGTCATTTACTTTTTTAAAAACAGATTTTGCAAGAATAGAACATCGCATTTTCTAATTTATCCCTCCTTTTTGGAGGTGATATAAATTTTTAGAAACTTTTTTTTCTTTAAAAAAATTGTTTTCTCTATGTTGCCCAGGCTGGCCTCTAACTCCTGGCCTTAAGTCATCCCCCAGCCTTGGCCTCCCAAAATGCTGGGATGACAGGCATGACCCATTGTGCCCCACGAAAAGCATGCTTATATTTCAGATGAATCCATTTTAACTCATGGAAAGAAACTAGCAGCAGAAACTTACCTTTCTAGCAGCTTGAGATAGAATGGTTCAAAGTGTTAACATACTCTACTATTGTTCAAATATCGCAGGAAGAGTTCTCAATTCTAATGTAATATATATTAAGAGTCTCATGATAAAGTTTTATCTTTTTTTAAGTGGGATTTTTTTACTAGACTTATGCACTAATACAACATGTTTTTCTATAAACTAGCATATTTTTGGTTCTATTTTATGTTGTTTGTTATGTCGCCTGATAGTCGAAACCAGTTGTTCTCAACCTGCTACCAAATACCAACCTGGAAATATGCCACTATTTAAAACGCCCAAATAATAGGGTTTTGTTTTTCCTTTTCAATTGTTTGGTTTTCAAACTACATAGTAAACCAGTTGGCAACCATTACTGAACCAAAATAGTTTTTCGTATGCATGAGCACCATTTTCCCATAGAAAACACTTAACCATTTTTAAGGTACTGGAAGTCCATGCAAGGGTTCACATATGCAGTAAATATCCTTTCAATCTGGTTGTATCACATTGTTTCTGTGAAAGGAAGACCTGATATTGCAGATTGCAGAATTAAATGGTAAAACTCAACGAAAAGCTGCACCTGAGGCTCAAACACTAGCCAGATGGCGTTTGGTCGGAAAGGTCACATCTGCGTTTTAAACCCCGCCGTAACTGTGAATGTTTGAGATGCCACCACATCCCCAGTACAAGAGAACTGGAGCATCTCTGGTTCCTTCCATAATCGAAGGGCTTCCAGCATAGGGCGTAGGGGGAGAGGCCCGAAGCCCTGGAGACAGCGCCCGAGGGATATAGGCCGCGCTCGGCTGCGTCCGGTGCGGGGGGGGGGGAGCTCCGGGAGCTGAGACCCCGCGGGATGCAGAGGGGGAGCCAGGGCCTGATCCCCTACCCCTGCGAGCCAGGGCCGCCAGGTTACGCCCCCACTGCTTCCCAGAGGTAACGTCCAGCCCTCTCCTCCCCTATCCCCTGAAATATCTCGGTTCCGCTCCGCTCAGCCCGCCGCCCGTGACCCCAACCCCGACCCCGACCCGATCGCGACGGCGCCCTCCCCAGGCCGCAGCGGAGGACTCGCGCCAGGCAGCCAACCCTGGCGGCGGCGGCGGCTGCGGGCCAAGGCGGACCCTGGGGAGGACAGCAGCTGGGCCGCGGCCTGTCCCTAGGGGGAGCGGGCGCAGGGCCGCGAGTGGGCAGCGCCTCCGCCCCGCACGAACAAAGCGGCCGGGCGCGCCGGGCCGAGGCTGCGCCGCCTCTCCGGGAGCGCGGGGGGCGGGGAGGATGGCGGGGGCACTCACCTGAGGGCCGGCGGAGGGCGCGGGCGGGCCGGGCCCGGGAGCCGGGACCGCGGCAGGCCGGGGCTCCGCGCCGGGGACGCACGGGCTACGGGGAATGGGCGACCGGCGCGACGTCCGCGGCGGGGCCCAGGAGCCCCGCAGCGCGGGCCGGGGGCCGGGGCCCGGGCTCGATTCTGCGGCCGCGAGGTATGGGAACCGGTCCGCCGGGCCAGGCAGCGGTGCTAGGCGGCAGGGGCAGCGACGCTGCCGCCTTTCCCTTCTCCTGCCCCCGTCCCTGCTCCGCCGCGTCCTCGTCCTCGCTGGGTCCCCGCCGCCGCCGCCTCAGCCTCGGCGCTCCTCGGGTTTCGTCTCTCCATCAAGGCCGGGCCGACCCGCAGGGACCATCCCGGAAAGTGAGGGGTTGTTGCCGTTTCCCGCAGCTGTTGGTGGCCATCTTTAATCCTCCTCCTCCTCCTCCTCCTGCTTTCTCCACCTCCCGCTGGCTGCCTGACTGACTGACTCTGGATCCTCCTCTTTCCCCTCCTGCTCCTCCTACTGAGCCGGCCGCAGAAATTGCAGCCGCTCAGCTTCTACCCCCTCCTGCCTTTCCTTCCTCTTTCCTTACTTCCTTCCCTTCCCTCGGCTTCCCCCTCTCCCCTCACTCTCAGCGGCTGCCTTCGCCCCCGTCTGCAGGCAGCGCCGCTGGATGCTTCCAGCTGGACTTCAACCCCAGACGCGCCTCTTCCCCGCCCCGCTCCCCTCTCCCCTCTCCCACCCCTGCCCCTCTCCGCGGCGCTCACCCTTCTCAGTCCCAGTTTCTCAAAGGACTCAGCTGAGAAAGGACAACTGGGTTCCGCTTTCCTTAACCCTACACCCTTTAGCTGGATGCTGACAGCGGCGATGGAGAAACGCAAAGCTGCGTTAATTTTACTCTAGCCAGAGTATAAAAGAACTGCCCACGCCAGCTATTTTACTACGCAGCTTCGAAACTCCTGCACGCTCTTCTGTGTGGCTCCGGTCCATTATGGGACTGGAGTTGAGGAGCTCGGTCTCAAATGGTGCCTTCCGTCACTGACCTTGAGTCCATTGCTTAAGATTTTAGGTTTTCCTTTTCCTTCCTGGGAGGGGCATTGTTTATACCTTTGCAGTCCCAACAAACAGTGTTTAGACCAAATAAGTATTCTTTAGTAAACCTAGAACTGCCAAGTGATCATCAGTTTGTCCGTTTGTTCCTACTCAACCCAGTAGATAATTTGGGTCACGCTTCAGTTCTGGCAGCGAAGACAAACTGAGTCAGCAGTTAGAAGTGGACTCCCTTAAACAACAGTTAGAGTGGGGAAGTGGTCATAACATCGCTCTAATGACAAACTTGTTTTTCCTAACACTGCAATCTACAGAAGTTTCAGGATTTCCTCTAATAAACATAAGGCAAGTTGGATTTGCTGTTTTCTTCTTTTTGACAATTTTGCCTTTAGAGTTGGACCCATTTGTAATGATTTACTCGTCAATTACTCCAAGGTAACAAACTTGGAGGTAACATTGCTAACAAACACAGATGACATATGTGAACACTGTGTGGCGTGGAGGGGAGGGGGGTCAAAGTTTTTGCTTCTCTTGGGCACTGGCTATTAAAAAAAAAAAAAAAGCACCTTGCCCTTTCAAAATAAGACCAGTGTGTTCAAAGGTTAGTCCCTTAAACAGACCAAATGTAGGCAGAAATGTTTTTAAATGTAGTTTTAGATTCTACTTCAAAACGAGTAATGTTTTGAAAGTTCAAATATAAGATATTGTAATTATAAAATTTTAAGAGTTTCAAATCTCTTTGAAAAGAATATGCCAAAACAAACCTAAAAATATATTTTAGTGAAAATACTATATCCTTTGGTGGGGGGCAGAGCAGAATTCTGATATTTTTATTTAATCCTCACGAAGTAACCTTAATTAACCCAGTTAGGTTCAAGATTTCAGTTGCCATCTTTCAATGCCAATAATTTTTCCATTTGAAATCAACAACCTATACCAACATCTACAACTCTTTTAAACCCAAATGAAGTATTTGAGACAGCATTGTACAATACATTTTGAAATAAATTATTACAAACAAAGCACCTATATGGGTATGTGTATGTGCTTGTGCATGTACTTTTTTTGTTGTTCTTTCTTTCCTTTTGGCCTTTTGGTGTTTATTCTTTATTTAGATTTTGTGTTCTTCCAGTCTATTTCTAGGCAAAATACCACAAAATTCTTGACTCTTAAATATTCGCTTATAAAACTGTATACAATAATTGGAGAAAAAAGAACGTTAGATAACATGAATATACACTGAGAAAATAGGCTGACTTCTTTTAAACATTAAGACCACCATGCATTTTTAAAGGAAGATTTTCAATTAGAGGTTTCAGGATTCTTGTCATTGTGATTTGATTTACACTGAGGGAGGAAAGAGTTACATTTTAAAATACTATAATTATATTTTTCTGTTAAAAAATATATTGCAATAAAGTTCACAAATCTATCAGTATGCAAATGCAGCTATTTTCATATTAATGTCTTACAAACTCAAAGGTTTTTCAGTGATAGACGTAAAAATAAATGTACCAAGTTTTTTTTTTTCCTTTTTACTGAAGCCACATAAACGTAAGTACTGTAATAATGGAAAAATCAGACCCTTCACATTTACTTTTCTACAGCTCTGTCATCATTACAGCCTTACCTTTGGTCTTTGTTGCCGGCTAAGTGTAGTTTCACTGTCATCTTAGGATTCGAGTATGAAAAAAAAATGGTCAAATCAGTTTTTCCTGCAACATGATTATTGTTTCGTATGTACTCACTCTCAGATAAAGTCAAGGTCCTCTATAATACAAAGAATTGTGTTAAAGTGGGATAAACCCTTTGTGCAGAGGCCAGATGGAAAGAGATCTAGGCATGTGCAGCAAACTCCTCTGGGAATAGAGGAGCAAGCATGAAGGGCTATTTCTAAACAGTTCTGCACTGGGAGGCTGATCTCCAACTTACAATTCATGAATAAGGTGATTGTGGAGAATAATAACCAAGAGGCTATCTGTGACAATAAGCAAACAGAACTCATATTTGCTTTTAACATGATTGAAAATTCTTATGAACATGAATGAGTGAAGCATAATTTTAAATGAAGGAAAATGGAGATAAAGGGTTCATGAAAAATATCTAAAAGTAAGAGGAAGAAAAAATAATAGAAAAGAGCAATTTTGGAAAATTGTTAATACATATTAACAGTTTGCTATTTAAACAATTATTTACTTTATGTTAACTTTTTGTTAACATGTTTGCTTTTAAGACTATACAAGAAATAATTTAAACTTGGTCAGGTAGCATTATCCCAGAGATGAGTATATGTAATTAGAATTTTGAGATATTTATTCTAAAACATAGAGTGCTAAATGATGCTGTGACACAAAAATCAAAAGGAATGGAAGTGTTAATTGACATATTTAAAAATTACTGAGCCACTATATTATGTAAGAATTATATTAAATATATATTTCTATTTTTCCAGGCTACTAGATGCAACAATAGAATTACCATATTGTTTTTCCTGGTTTGAAAGGACCAGATGGAAACAAACTGGGCAAGCCAATGAACGTCTCTGGGGATTATGGGAATTGAGTGTCTATGAAAACCATATTCCAGAAAAGAATATAGTCTTAGGTAAATGTTCTTATAATCTGCATTCTTTAGAAAAGACAATATCTCTGTTCTGCATCTTCCAATTTAGGTGGACTGTCTAAAATATCAAGTGAATAATGACAAGCCATGTTTATCTGCACTGATTGAAATCTAGTATCATTCTTCACTCCTCAATTTACAGAACTGCTTATAATTGACTGATGAGCTGTCTCTGAGACAGGGCCATTTATAGTCATTACTGCACTCTAACTGGGGAGAAATCCTTTTAGAAAGTTCTAATTGGAGACTTTTTCTGTTATTTTTCTTATACATACATTCAAAAGAGGTACTGGAGAGTTTGTTTTGTTTTGGGAAGGGGCATGTGTGTAGCTCAATGTATTGTTTTTCTTCATACTTAAGTAAGTAATATGTAATAAAGCTTCTTTAAACTATAAAGAGTTACAGGCTCACAGGAGGAAAGAGAATAGTGTCATGTTTTGCCCTTGTTCATCATAATTATCAGCACTATAATAGAGACGGGGGTTGAAGTCTTTGATTATTAATAAATTCTATTTCTACTTAAAGGTCCTCTTCATCTTCACTTCCTGTATGTTTCTCTGTGGAGAGTTCAGACTTTTAGAACCAGTATGCTTACAGTGTTTTTACAGGATAAATACACTTGACCCTTGAACAACACAGGTTTGAACTATGCAAATCCACTTCTGTGTAGATTTTCTGCCACCTCGGCCACCACCAAGACATGAAGAACAACTCTTTCTCTTCCTCCCCCTTCTCAGCTTATTTAACCTGAAGATGATGAGGATGAAAACCTTTATGATGATGCTTCTCCACTTAATGAATCATGAATATATTTTCTCTTCTTTATGATTTCCTTAATAGCATTTTCTTTTCTCTGGCTTTATTGTAAAGGTAAGTATATAATACATATACAAAATATATGTGAATCAACTATGTTATCAGTAAGGCTTCTGGTCAACAGTGGACTATTAGTAGTTACGTTTTCGGGGATTCAAATATTACACACAGATTTTCAACTGTGCAGAGGCCAGAGAGGGCATCAGCACTCCTAACCCTGGCGTTGTTCAAGGGTCAACTGTATAGTAGTATACACATTGAGCTTATTTCACTCATTAAAAATTGTAGTGAAAAATTATTCAAGTGGCTCAGTGTAGCTCATCTAGTGCAAACTTTGTAGCAATTTGAATGAAATCCAGGTCTCCTGACTCAGTCTCAAGTCCCATAACTTCAGAATTGACAGGGCTCATCTCAGAGGAGACAAACTCAACCAAAGAAACTTTTAACTGTGCCATCTTCGGTTAAATATAATTTAAACTGGGCGGGGCGCGGTGGCTCAAGCCTGTAATCCCAGCACTTTGGGAGGCCGAGACGGGCGGATCACGAGGTCAGGAGATCGAGACCATCCTGGCTAACCCGGTGAAACCCCGTCTCTAGTAAAAAATACAAAAAAATAGCCGGGCGAGGTGGCGGGTGCCTGTAGTCCCAGCTACTCGGGAGGCTGAGGCAGGAGAATGGCGTAAACCCGGGAGGCGGAGCTTGCAGTGAGCCGAGATCCGGCCACTGCACTCCAGTCTCGGCGACAGAGCAAGACTCCGTCTCAAAAAAAAATAAAATAAAATAAAATAAATATAATATAATTTAAACTTAATTTCCAGAATTAATGTTCAGCGTTGACCTTTCTTAGAAATGAAGCTAAGGAATAAAGTAAATAAACAGGGTTTTCGTATTTACAAAAATGAGAACAATTATTTGCAATTAAAGTAAAAAGCAAATTTAAAGAGTTTAAGAGAGCTCAAGTTGACTAAAAAATGTGCGATTTTTTGAAACCTAAAACAACCCCTATTCTATAACATTTATTTATGGTTCAAAAAGTATAAAGTTAACTCAAAAATACTGTGTTATTTCATGGATTAAGTTACAATTGTGTTGCAAGACTCAGGAAACAAACCTCAGTTAACTAAATAAAGTAAAACACTGCCATCTGCTGACTAGAATGAAAAATTAGTGGGTCTTTTACCATCTGTAACTAGCGAGAGGTCTCTGTTAATTTATTCCATAACTCTTAAAGTATGCTAAAAAACACTATGCTGGGTGATACAAAATTACTCAGTCTCCTAGATGGACACCTAGGACTATACCCTATGCTACCGTATTAGTTAGGGTTCTCCAGACAGACCAAACCAATAGGATATAGATATAGATACAGGAGAGGGGATTTATTAGGGGAATTGGCTCATGCAATTTTGAAGGCTAACAAGTCCCAGGACAGGCCGTCTGCAAACTAGAGACCCTGGGGTGCCAGTAGCGTGGCTCATTCCAAGTATGTAGGCCTGAGAACCCAGAGGGGAGCTGGTGTGAGTCCTGATATCGAAAGGCTGGAGAGCCTGTCATTCTCATGTCCAAGGGCAGAAGAGTGTAACCCAACTTTAGGACAGAGAGACCAATTCACTTTTCCTCTGTTTTGTTCTGTCTGGGCCTCCAGCTGCTTGCATGGTGCCCACCCACATTGAGGGTGAATCTTTCCCACTTAGTCCACACAGACTCACACTCCAATCGCCTCTAGAAACACCCTCACAGACACACCCCAAAATAATGCTTTACCGCTTATCTATATATTCATTAATCCAGTCAGGTTGATACCTAAAATTAATCATCACAACTAGCATGTGGTGGTGGTGGTGATCATTATTCGAGCAGTTAAATCTGACCATAATCAGTAATGCAGCAATAATAGGGTTTAAATATAAATGAGGAAATAAAGTTATTATCTCGAAATTTTGAATCTAGAAAAATTTTACATTAAAACTTATTTAAGGCTGGGTGTAGTGGCTCACACCTGTAATTCCAGCACTTTCAGAGGCCAAGGCATGCAGATCACTTAAGGTCAGGAGTTTGAGACCACCCTGGCCACCATGGTGAAAACCTGTCTCTACTAAAAATACAAAATTTAGCTGGGTGTGGTGACAGGCACCTGTAATTCCAGCTGAGGCTGAGGCGGGACAATCACTGGAACCTGGGAGGCGGAGGTTGCAGTGAGCCAAGCCGAGATTGCATCATTGCGCTCCAGCTGGGCTACAGAGCGAGACTGTGTCTCAAAAAAAAAAAAAAAAAAAAAAAAAAAAAAAGAGCTTTAAATTGTATAACTACAGTAAAATTAATTTGGAAAATAAAAAAATTTAAAGTTTAAGTCATGACCTAATTACTTCACTCTGCAAATATTTGAGTGGTTACCATGCCAGAAACTAGATTGCCTGCAAGAGATATAATAAATACCTACTGTCTACCTTTATGGAGCTTACAGTCTAGAGAAAGAGATAGATATCAACCAGGAATGATAGTGTCTTAAGAACTATAACAAGATAGTACAGGAGTACCTCCTTCTGCTCTAGTGGGGCACACGAATTATTATCAACTCATACAA